GTTAGATATTTAACCAAGTATTTCTTGTTTTTGGAACTATTATGAATAGCAACATTTTTTATGTTTTAGTTTTTAGTTGTTCATTGGTAGTACAGAGAAATACAATGAATATTTATGTGTTGAACTTCTATTCTGTAACCTTGTTAACTTTTTAGTTCAGGTAGATTATTGGAGATTTAATATGTAGACAATAATGTGTGTGAATAGAAGTAGTTTTATTTTTAATGTTTTGCTTTTCAATCTGTATACCTTTTATTTATTTTTCTTACCTTATTACATTGACTTGAAATTCCAGTATGATGGTGAATAGAGGCAGTGATAGAAATATCTTTACTTTGTTCCTGATCTTAGGGGAAAAGCATTTAGTTTTGCCTCACTAAATATGATGTTAGCTGTATATTTTTTGTAGATACTCTTTTTTCAGGTTAAGACAGCTTTTTTCAATTCCTGGTTTGGTAAGTGTTTTGAACATAGAGGGATGTTGGATTTTGTCAAATGTTTCTCCTGTATCTATTCATATAATCATATGTTCTTTTCACCTCAGTCAGTTAATATGGGGGATTAAATTGACTGATTTTGGAATATTGAAACAGTTTTGCATTTCTCCACCTTGTTGTGGTGTATTCTCCTTTATATATTGTTGATTTAACTTGCTAATATTTGATAAGAAATTGTGTGCCTTTGGATGGATGAAGCTGGAAACCATCAATCACAGCAAACTAACACAGGAACAGAAAACCAAACACTGCATGTTCTTGCTCATAAGTAGGAGCTGACCAGTGAGAACACGTGGACACAGGGAGGGGAATATCACACACCAGGGCCTGTCGGAGGTTGGGGGGTGAGAGGAGGGAGAGCATTAGGAGAAATATCTAACGTAGATGACAGGTTGATGAGTGCAGCAAACCACCATGGCACGTGTATACCTATGTAACAAACCTGCACGCTCTGCACATGTACCACAGAACTTAAAGTATATATATAAAAAAGAAATTGTGTGCCTTTGTTTATGACAAACATTGGTCTGCAGTTTTATTTTCTTGTACTGTTTTATTGTACTATTTTGGTATCAGGTTTGTGTTAGTTTCATAAAATGAGTTAGGAAGCATTTCTCCCTTTTGAATTTTCTGGGATAAATTGTGTAGACATTTTCCATCAGCATTTGGTAGAATTTTCCAATGAAACCATCTGGACCTGGAATTTCCTTTGTTGGAAAGTTTTAGCTAAAAATTCTGTTTATTTAAGTGAATATGGGACTATTTTGGTTATCCATTTTTTCTTGAGTGACTTTTGATAGTATCTTTTGAAAATTTATCTATTTCATTTAAAGTTGTTGAATTTACAAGCAGGGTTATTAATAGTATTTCCTTATTACCCTTCTAATATCTGTAGGGTCTGTAGGGATATCGCCTCTTTCATTACTGCTCTTGGCAAGTTGTGTCCTATCTCTCTCATCCTTTCTTCTTCTCCCTCCATCTCCCCAACATCACTTCTTCCATACTCCCTCTTTTGGCTAGCTTGGATAGAGGTTTATCAATTGTATTGATCTTTCCAAAGAACCAATTTTGGGTTTCACTGATTTTATTATCTTGTCCTGTTTTTGATATATTTCAATTTTTGATTTCACATATTTTTATTCTTATCTTTATTATTTTCTTCCCTGTGTTTGCTTTTTGTATAGTTTGCTTTTATTTTTCTAATTTCTTGAAGTGAAATTTTAGATTATTTACTTGAGAGCTTTCTAGCATTTAGAGAATGTAACACTATAAAATTTCCTCTAAGCATTGCTTTACCTGAATCCACAAAATTCAATCTATTTTATTTTCACTTTCATTTAGTTCAAAAAAAAATTTTTTTGACACTGAGTCTCGCTCTGTTGCCCAGGCTGGAGTGCAGTGGCGTGATCCCAGCTCACTGCAACCTCCACCTCCCAGCTTCAAGCGATCCTCTTGCCTCAGCCTTCTAAGTAGCTGGGACTACAGGCACGCGCCACCACACCCAGCTAATTTTTTGTATTTTTAGCAGAGATGGGGTTTCACCGTGTTAGCCAGGATTGTCTTGATCTCCTGATCTCGTGATTCACCTGCCTGGACCTCCCAAAGTTCTGGGATTACAGGCATGAGCCGCCACGCTCGGCCAGCTCACAATATTTTATTACTTCCTTTGAGATGTCCTTTTTGACTCATGGGTTATTTAGAAACATGTTTTAAGTTTCCAAAATTTGGGAATTTTCCAGATATCTGTTACTGATTTCCATGTGGTCAGAGAACATACTTTTTATGATTTGAATCCTTTTAAAGTTGTTGAAATTTGTTTCATGGCCCAGTATATACTCTATCCTGGTGAATGATCCAAATGAACTTAAAATGAATATATATATATATTTTACTATTGTCATTAGGAGTGTTTTACTGATGTCCATTAGTCAAATTGTTTAATAGCATTGCTTGGGTCTTCTATAGCCTTGCCATTTTCTACTTGTTCTATTGATTATTGAAAGAGGAGCATTAAAAGTCTCCAAGTGTAACTGAAGATTTGTCTAGCTTTCCTTTCTGTTTGATCTGGTTTGCTTCATGTATTTTGAAGCTTGATTTGAGATACATGCACATTTAGAATTTTTATATATTTTTGGTGAATTGGCTCATTTATAACTATATAACTTCCTCTTTATCATGAGTAATTCTTCTTGTTTCATAGTCTACTTTTTCCACTATTAATATGCCAACTTTCTTTTGGTTCACATTTGCATATTATATCTTTTCTCACTCTTTTACTTTTAACCTATCTATATCATTATGTTTAATGTGGGATTCTTGTAAATAGCATATAGACAGGCCTTTAAAAAATTCAAACTGGATTGACAGTTCTTTCAGCATTTCAAAAAATGCTGAGATATTGTTCCAGTCTCTTCTGGCTTACATGGTTTGTGGTAAGAAATCTAAAGTCATGCAAATCATTTTCCACTCTATGTAACGTTTTGATTTTCTAAGGCGCCTTTCAAGATGTTTTCCTTTATATTTGATTTTCATCAGTTGGATCACATTTTTTTCTCCAAGGGCCACGCCTTTCCTGTCACTCTGGGCAGCGATAGAGGCAGGAGATTTATCCTTCAGCTTTTTCAGACCATGTCCATTGCGCAGTTTCCAAAACTGCCCTGTACTGGATTATAAGCCAGGAGATACTCACTGCCATATTAACTATCCTTTGGGTTTTGATTTCTCTCTTCAATTTTCCTGACATAATTTATTCTTCAGAGTCCTTATATGTTTGCATTATGATTCTGTCCAGGGTTGCTAGTTATGATCAGTGGGGGAAATAGGGTAGAGTGTGCTTACTTAGCCAGAACTAGCAGCTGGAGGAGTTACTCTTAGTGAACCTGAAATGAAGAAATGTAAACCTCCATGGCTTGGAGATGAGAGAATATGTAAAATAGAAAGACAAGGGTCTAATCCCCAACTCCTGGTCAGGAATTAGGAAAAGAGACCTGTTAATTTGACTAGAGATTCTTTTAGGGTGTGTGAATGGATACAGGGTGCTGTAGGCGGCTAGTATCTTTCAGCCAAGAACCAGAGCCTGTGAAGCAAAGCTCATGAAAATGTCTGTCTCTCTGACTCCTCACTCCCCATTATATTTGGGTATCTGGAAAACAACTTTTTTTTTTATGTCACATGATTTTATTTCATTGAATATTATATGAACATCGGGAAAAGTGTGAGACAACAAATCCTAGTTTATCAATGTAGGTAACAGAGAGGAGGAAGGCCCAAGCAAACATAAGAAAAAAGTTCTGCACTGAAACACAGCTATTCCATTCTACTCATCTGTAAAGTTAAAGTGTGAATATTAGAAAATAATACAATATTAAGACACTAAAAGAAAGAATAGCCCCTAGATTTGTGGTACAAGCATGTGGCTGTGAAAAACAACTTTATACATGAAGAATTCACTGGAGTGAATATCAGAGTACAAACAAAAGGGTTTGGAATTGAGATGATGCATTTGATTTAATATAAAGTGGAAAAAATAGAAGGTAAAACACAAGATGATTGTAATTGTGTTTCATGTATTCTGTGATTCCAACTGGATGAATAATAAGCAAGAAATGGACAGAGCTGTCTAAAAATTAAACTGCTCATGTTGGGGGAGTGAAGGATATGAGATTATGGGTGTCTCATTGTTTTATTTTTCAAAAATTTCCTTAATGTGGCTGCTATGGTTTGAATGTTCCCTCTAAAAGTCATGTTGAAACTTAATCCCCATGTGGCAGTATTGAGAGGTGGAGTCTTTAAAAGGTAGTCGGGAAACGAGAGCCCTCATGAATTAATGGATTAATGAGTGAATGAATGAATAGGTCATCATGGGAGTGGGACTGGTGGTTTTATAAAAAGAAGAGAGACCCCAGTGAACACACTGAGCTGCCTCGCCATGTGATTCCCCGTGCCGCCTCAGGACTGCAGAGTCCCGGCCAGCAAGAAGGCACTCGTCAGATGTCTGCCTGACCTTGAACTCTACAGCTTCCAGAACTGTAAAAAAATAAGTTTATATTCTCTATAAATTACCCAGTTTCGGGTATTCTGTTATACACAACAGAAAGTGGAGTAAGAAATGGCTCTATGAGCTTTTCAAATATAATAACATATAAGAATAATTCCTGGCCTATTGCCTGATAATGATATTGTTCCCCATTCTATTTCTGTAACTTATTTGAGAAGGTTTTCCTGATTTTCACCTCTCAGCCCAGTCATCCCTGTTGCATGTTTCTATATCACTGTATTGATGACAATTTACTATGCTGTAAAGTACAGTACTGATGACAACTTTACACTTAATGCTTTGATTTTCTATCTTCTCTGGCAGACATGGACTTTTGCAGGTGAGGGCAGCATATTTTCTTGCTCACTGATACATCTTTAGTACATAGCTAGTGCCTTGTCTATGGGAGGTACCTAATAAATATTTATTGCCTAAATTATCAAGTCTCCAAATAAAAGAGAACACCAAAAAGCTAAGATTTTTATTTTGCACTGTTTTTGGCTCTTTTGGTCTCAGCACTTTTGGAACCCATACCTCACTTTCTCTTCGTCTTGACAAACACTGTCCACATTTTTCAGCCAACCCAAAGCTGGATGGCATGGTGCCTTGAGTTGGCAATTAACCAAAGGAGTGGCCCAGTGATGAAAGAATAATCCACAGAAAAGGAAAACCAAACTCAAGTTTTGGCTAAGGCTGCCATCGTCAAGAATGATCTGAGGAAACCCAAGGGATTATGGCCAAAAGGATTCTAGTGGTATTGCTAAGTCAAGTCCTCTCTGGCCCCACTCCTATGAAATACCAACCAAACACACTGGTGCTAATTCAAGTGCACTTTACTTTAGGACACTTTGTTTCATTTTAGAAGCAAGTATAGGAAATCACCCAAAACACAAGCCACACATTACGATGGCAGGCTGCAAGTGGCTCTTACCAAACAACCCTAGCATGTAAGAGTTAGAAGAGCCCTTCAACATGTCTGTTCCAAACACCTTTCTCCAAAGTTGACACAGATTTTCTTAGCAACAGTCAAGATGAGTAATCACCCGGTCTTCCCTTGAGCACTTTGAGTGATGGTGAACTCCCCATCTCTCAAGATAGTTCATTTCCTTTTCAGAGAAATCTCTTCTAGACTTGGTAAACATGAAGTACATGTGCTGACACTCTGAGCCCCACACTTGTGGCAGAGATCACCAATTAATCACAATGTTTTTTGGTTTTTTTTTTTCCCACCAAGCCTAGGTTTAGCTTTAGAATCATCCTCAACATTGTTTTTCATTTGGATAGAGGTCAATTTGCAGTCCCTGTTGCAGTTTCTAGAAAGTTAAGTCTTCTGCACATAGCTCTTCTTCATGTTCTCTGTGAGCACACAGGACTCTAGTAGTCTGGGGCGAGGACAGCGTCAGCCCTTAAGTCTTGAGCCCATTCCTGGAACACAGTTTGGGAAAGACAAAATCTGCAGGCTGGTGGGTTGGTATTAGGCTCTCCAAAGCCTGAGATCCACAAGGTCAAATATTGGAAACAGGCATTTCTTAGGTACGATGAATAATCTTTCCACTGACTTCTGAAAGCCTATACGGGGGATGGAAGCCTAGGGTCATTGATGCGCTGGGACCCAGGTTGAGGGCAGATCAAGGCTACTTGTGGTAAAGCTGGGACTAGAACCTCAGTCTGTGATTTCTAATCTGTTGAGTCCCCTATCAGACCAAATTGTCTTTCTTTGATAAAGCATTAACATACTATTTCCCCAATTTCATTTTGAAATCGTGGATTGAGTCATGAAGAAGGCAGGTCATCAACCTGTATGGAAGAACGTTGGGTCCAGTGAAACATAGAGGGATTCCTTGCAACTTCCAGAAGAGTTTGGGAGATTTAGTTGTGAATAATGCTAACATAGTTGCAATGTTAGATTAGTACAGGTTTACTTTTAAATACTTAATAATATAAAAGACTTGCACAGCTTCAATTCATTTAAGCCTCCCAATAATGGGTAAATTTTAAGTTTCCTGAAAAGTGAGATTATCCATTTAGACAATCCTGTTTTTGACATAATTGTCCAACGTGGAAGAGGAAACTTGTTCAGAACTTCCGTTTGTCTTATCATCAGTGACAGCTGAGTCGATTTTCTCTTCTGGTGGGTATGCTTTGTTCCTTTTGGAAAATGCCTGACTGATTTCTGCCTGGGTTCTGTTTTTGGTCTCAGGCAGCACAAAATATAGGTAGATAGCACCTGTGATACAAATTGTAGCAAAGACTAGGAAACAGTAGGTGTTCAGACTTTTCTGTGGAAAGGCAGAGACAAAAACCATCAAATAGATAATCAGTAAAGTTGCTGTCAAACCATCTCTACACAGATTTTTAAAATAGCTCCACATTCATATACCAATACTCCTAGACAAAACACCATGTGTGATGCTGGCTCTATAAGGCAAGTGTGCCCTACATGAAGTGTTATCACATGAGGCTTGAATAAATCAGCTTCAAACTCTGGTAAAGATGAGCAAATGATACTTTTTGTTGTTGTTGTTGTTGTTGCAAATTTGGCATTTAAAAATTAATCATCATGAAAGCAAAATGGTATGCTTGCTGAATATTAGCTTAAGCTTATATTTACAATTAACCACATTGTCTCCTTGCTTCTACTATACACATAAGACAAGAATGACATCAAAAGGGAAGAGAAATGCCTCAGTTCATAGGAAGAATGTGGAGCATAGAACAGGCCAAGGTAATGCCAGTTTTTCTAATACGCAAGTGATCTAACTCACTAATTGACACTCTGAGATGGCCTTGCACAAATAAGAGAGATGAGAAAAAATAGAAATGTTCAAAGCAATCACTCCATTTTATGTATCCTGATTAGTGCTTGGACTAGAATAACCCTGCCAACTGCACTAGACCCTGAGCTTCTCAGTGACGCAGTCACCTCTGTAGCTCCTGTGCCTCATAGGAGGTACTCAGGACATGTCTGTGGAATAAAAGACTTGAAATCCTAGCCTGAAGCAATCCACCTGCTTTGGTCTCCCAGGTACTGGAATTATAGGCATGAGCCACCTCTCCAGAAATAAAAGACTTTCTGGGTCCCAGCTGTCAGGATTGTGACTATCATATGCAACAAACATCTATTGATCCAAAGATAAGGTTACACTGTCTTTGAATAATACTTCCCAAGAAGCAATATTCAGATATTAGTCCATTCCATTCCATTCTTTGATTTGACAAACATTTATTTTTGGAGAATGGCAGAGTGCTTAAGGTTGATCTCTGGATCACATCCTAGATCTACCATTTACTAAATCTGAGACTCTTTGTGCCTCTGTTTCCATGCTTGAAAAAGAGGATAATCATGGTACATGCAGGGTTGTTGTAGGAATTAAGTGAGACATTCCCTTTAAAGTGCCACATGCAGTAAATGTTCCACACCTGGGGATGCTTAGCTCTTGAGACTGTGCCTTCTGCTCATACAAAGACTTCAAGAGCAGTATGGAGAAGGGGGAGAGTATGGGCTCTGAAGCCAGTCGAGTGGGATTCAAATCCTGATCCCATTACTCACATGTTGTTTTAACACTTATGATGTGCCATTTAAGATAGAATTTCAATCCACTGAGCATCTGTTTCCTCATTTGCAACATGGTGATATATACCCACATATTATTTTGAAGATGAAATGAGATATATCAATTTTGCATTCAACATCCTCCACACCCCCATCTGCATGCTGAATGGACATCTGACTTATCAAGTCCAAAGTGGAGCCTCTAAAACTGCCTACTCTAGCCTTCCTCATCTCTGCTGATGGCACCTCCATCCTTCTGATTGATTATGCCAACAAAAACACTTGGAGGCAGGCCGAGCTTCTCTCTCTCCCTCTGTCTCTCCCACCTACATCTGCTCCATTAGGAAATCATGTTGCTCTACCTTGAAATGTATTCCAAATCTGAGCGTTTGTCACCACTTGTATTGCAACCCAATTTTGGTGCAAGCCACCATCATGTCTTGCTTGGATTTTTGCAATAGCTTGTCAACTGATTTCCCTGCTTTTCACTTTAAGCATAATCTTGAGATTATTCTTAACAGACAAGCCAGAGTGATCCTGCTAAACAAAGGACAAAACTTGTCACTCCTCTGCTCAAAACCCACCATGACTTCCTAAGTCACCTACAGGAAAGCCAAAGTCCTCACCACGGCCTCCAAGGCCACCGACCATGTGTCCCTCTTACTTCTCTGATCTCACTCTCCTCACTTTCTTTGACCGAACTCCACTGCCTTTATGATTTCCCTCCAGTATCGGGCCTCAGAACCTTTGCAAATGCTGTTCTCTCTTGCTGGAATAATCTTCGTTTAGGCCTCTGTATATCCTGCTTTCTTACTCCTCTTCATCTGACTTATAGGTCATTTTCTCAGAGAGGTTCGCTTTGACTCTCATTTCTAAATAGCCCCTCCCAGCCCTGCTTCATTGCTCTTCAAAAACACTCACCACTATGCAGCATTGTAGTGTGCAACTGCCTGTTTATCAACCTTCTCCCTACCAAGAGGTAACTATCTGAAGGCAGAAGTCATCATTTTTCTTGTATTCCCAGAACCTGGAGAGTGTCTGATATACAGTAGATGCTCTGAGTATCTTACTGAGTGGATGGATGGACTGAGGCTCAGAGAGGTTTCCTGCCCTATCCCAGGCCACATGCAGGGCTTTCTAGGACCTCTCTGACACCCACACAGCTGCCTCTTGCTTGGCTTTCTTTTCCCAAGGGACCTGATGGGTGTGGCGAGGATTATTGTCACAGTTTCACAAAATTCAGTCAAGAACACGTGGTTCAGCCGAGCACAGTAGCTCACGCCCGTAATCCCAGCACTTTGGGAGGCTGAGGTGGGTGGATCACTTCATGTCAGGAGTTCAGGACCAGCCTGGCCAACACTGTGAAACCCCATCTCTACTAAATTTACAAAAATTAGCTCAGCATGGTGCAGCCACCTGTTATCCTAGCTACTTGGGAGGCTGAAGCAAAGATTAAAAGTGGACCCCCTCCTTACACCTTATACAAAAAGTAACTCAAGATGGATTAAAGATTTAAATGTAAAACTCAAAACTATAAAAACCCTAGAAGAAAATCTAGGCAATACCATTCAGGACATAGGCACAGGCAATTTCATGACAAAAATGCCAAAAACAATAGCAACAAAAGCAAACATTGACAAATGGGATCTAATTAAACTAAAGAACTTCTCCACTGCAAAAGAAACTATCATCATAGTGAACATACAACCTACACAATGAGAGAAAGTTTTTACAATCTATCCATCTGACAGAGGTCTAATATCCAGAGTCCACAGGGAACTTAAACAAATTTACAAGAAAAAACAACCTCATTAAAAAGTGGGCAAAAGACACAAACAGATACTTCTCAAAAGAAGACATTCACGCAGCCAAAAAACATATGAAAAAAAGCTGAACATCACTGATCATTAGAGACATGCAAATCAAAACCACAATGAGATACCATCTCATGCCAGTCAAAATAGGGATTATTAAAAAGTCAAGAAACAACAGATGCTGGTGAGCTTGCAGAGAAAAAGGAATGCTTTTACACTGTTGGTGGGAGTTTAAATTAGTTCAATCATTGTGAAAGACAGCATGGTGATTCCTCAAAGACCTAGAGGCAGAAATGCCATTTGACCCAGCAATCCCATTACTGGGTATCTACCCAAAGGAATGTAAATCATTGTATTATAAAGATACATGCACGTGTATATTCATTGCAGCACTATTCACAATAGCAAAGACTTGGAACCAACCCAAATGCCCATCAATGATAGACTGGATAAAGCAAATGTGGCACATATACACCATGGAATACTATGTAGCCATAAAAAGGAATGAGATCATGTCTTTTGCGAGATGTGGTGACATGGATCCAGTGACATGGATGGAGCTGGAAGCTGTTACCCTCAGCAAACTAACACAGGAACAGAAAACCAAACACACTGCATGTTCTCACTTATAAGTGGGAGCTGAACAATGAGAACACATGGACACATTGAGGGGAACAGTACACACTGGGGACTATCGGGGGGTTGCAGTGGAGGTAGAGTGTCAAGAAGAATAGCTAATGGACTCTGGGCTTAAGAGTAATACCTAGGTGATTGGTTGATCTGTGTAGCAAACCACAATGGCATATGTTTACCCGTGTAACAAACCTGCACATCCTGCACATGTAACCCGGACTTAGAATAAAAGTTGAAGAAAAACAAAAAGCTCAGAAAAAGTTTGACTAGCCCTGCCCATCTCACTCTGCTGAGACATTCAGGATATGACCCAATATTCTTCAGGTTGAAAAGAATAATTTGCTCCCTTCCAGAATTTATTGAACTCAAATTGGATTTTACAACTCGAGTAGAATCAAAGAGGCATACATTTGCATGCAATTTTCTCTGAATCAGAAAATATTGGCAGTCCACACTGGAGACTGTTTTTCGCAGGCTTTATAACAAATGGCCCAAGCAACACTGATGCTGACCACAGCAAATGCTGCCAACACGATCCCAGAGCCGGCGTGTGGAGGTGAGCATGAAGGGATGTGGGCTCCTCCCCACAACCACAGTGGCCTCCTTTCTCTGTTGGTGACGAGAGGTCTAAGGATTTTCCATTTTACAGGTGAGGGAACTCATGCTTGGAGAGAAAACCTATGCTTGAGGAGTATGCCCAGGGCCCTGTGCTAATACATGGGCTACAATACGGTGTGATTCGTGCTATTGTCTGTGGCTCTACTGGCTCAGATATTTTATTCTGAGGAAGAAGTCCAGGCTTCTTAGGGGTCTGTTTGAGGGCTGGAATACATTTGCCACTGACACCTATTGGAATAAGTGAAACAATCAAGATGTGTGAGTAGTTTCTCTTGGTGGCTCCTGTGGGCTGAACTGCGTCCCTCCTGAAATTCATACATTGAGTCCTAAGCCCTAGCACCTCAGGATGTGATTAAGTTAAAATGAGGTCATTAGGGTGGGCCCTAATCCAATATCCTGCTGTCCTCATAAGAGAGGAGATGAGGACACAGATCCACACAGAAAGGAGACCACGTGAGGACACAGGGAGAAGACAGCTGTAAGGAACATGGCTGTGCTTTGGTCAAGGGTAGGCTGAGGTAAACATCCAGAGCAACTCAGTGAGTTTAGAGGGCAGGTGTCTGACGCCACTTGCCATAACATGGGAAGGGCATCCCTTGGCCCTACACCACTGTTGTCTGTGAATGTATAACTGCCCTGCTGACACTGTACAGGCACTCTCGCACTGGTGCCCAGAGGAAAAGAGAGAGAACCAGAGATGTCCATCTGCAAGATGGAAAGAGGAGAGCCAGGACACAGTCGGAGTTCTGGTGCCCAGAGGAAGAGTTAAGCTGCTGACCCTGAAGGGCGAGCTGGCAGTGCAGCCGTGTGTGGGAGCTGCTGGACTAGGCAGCCAAGACAGGGTGGACAGCGTGAGGGAACTAGTGTGAGTGAGCTGCTGATGAGAGAACTACATTGCACTTGTCTACGGCCCCTTGAGTGTTCTTCCAGCTGTCTGCTCATTCACCCACTCCCTTCAGACCTCAGTATGAGCTGGAACCTGACCCTGGGGATAAAAATTGGCGTAGCCGTGAACTTGACCACAACCATTTACAAGCCAAGGAGAGGGGTCTCAGAAGAAATCAACCCTGCTAACCCCTTGAGCTCAGACTTCTAGCTTCTAGAATTGTGAGAAAACGAATTTCTGTTGTTGAAGCCTCTAGTCTGTGCTATTTGGTCATGGCAGCCTGAGGCCCGAGTAGATGAACACAGTAGCTCTTGATTGCAGCCGAGCTGGCTTTCAGAAGGGAGGTAGGTCAGAAATGGTTCCTGTATGGCATCTACAACACATACATGTTGCTCCCGTGGGTGGGTGTGGGTGGGGCTGGGGTGGGCTGGGGTTGGGGGATGTGACTCAGAACTTGTTAGCCCTGTATTTCTCTAATGCATTGATCACTGCTCACAGCAGCCCCCTGAGCCCAGCTCTCTGACTTGCTAAGCCCCTCTCCAGAAAGGAAATTAACCGTGGCTGCCTTCCCAGGCTTGGGTCAGGAGGCTGACATTTCACAAAATACTAAACGTAACTACCTGCCCAGTGTCTCCATCCGTGTGTCCGGCCTGGCTGTTCCCGCTCCAATGAAGGTTCATCAACAGTCACACCTGCAATGTTTCCTTAATTACCCCCTGAAAACCCAGACACCCTGGACATGCCCAGCTGCTTAGAAACTGTTTCCAGAAGGGATTTGTTTCGAAATTGCCCATAGGCATAAGAAAAGGCTCATAAATGACAGGCAAGAGAAGCAAGAACAAAACAAAGAATTGATTCCAGGTTTTAGAAATACAAAAAATTATCTAGGTTTGGAAGCGCGGTAACCTTGCAAGTTACTACATCTCTCTGAGCTCATCCCCTTGCCTGTCAAAGGGAGTGATACGGGCACTACCTCCCAGCATAGATGGCGGTGGAGTACTCTGGGCACACGGCAAGCGTTCAATGAACACTATGCTAAAGTGGCATGTTGGTGCTGTTAACGCTCAAACTGTGGCAGGCCAGCAAGGTCTTTCACACCCCACACCTGCGAGTGGCTCAGAAGATAGTGGCCTGCTTCTCGGACATACAGATCTCAGGACTGGGCCATGTGAAGGTGCTGGAACTTCTCTACTTAATTTATAAATGTGATGGGGGAACCGTGTTGACAGAAACAGCTTGAAGTTAACTTTTGCCATAATAATGACGATTTTACTGACACCTGGCTCTGCCGGCTTTGAGCCAAACTGTAAAAAGCCACTTAAGGTTTAAAAGTCCATCGAAAAGATAACTTGTTATGTTCTGACTGCAGCCACGTGAAGATGCCCCCGGATGGGAGTAAATGAGTGTGGGACCTTGACAAACTCCATGGCTCATGGAGCCCCCAACAGCACTTATGTTTCAGAAATAGAGTGGTTGTTGCTAAAACACAAAGATGCCTTAAAAGTTACAGGGTGTGGCAGCCTTTTAACTCTGAGACCAGGAGGCTGTAGTAAGTGATGGATGGAGAGGGAAGATGAGGACCAGGTGGTGAAGTGGAGAAACTGGGTCTGATGCTGACTGTGGGACCTGGATTGACCACGTCTACTTCCTGGACCTCCTTGCCTGTACAGTGGCAAGGATCAGAAACTCCAGCTCAGGACTGTGTGAAGGTGATGTGGGCACAGAAAGCCATGCATGGGGGAGGGGGTGGCACAGAGCAACTGCTCCGTAACTGTGAATGCAGAAACAGCCACCATGCAGGCTTGGAACTGGGGTGGCTGGGGCTTGGAGTGCCGCAAATACTGACCTTCAGCTCACCCACGCTGGCAGCAGAATCTCTGGGATGTGTTGCGCTTGGCACTAGTAAATTAGCAGGCAGACTCCGAACTGAGTGCACAGAATAGTTGGTGAGGGGAGGAGGACAGGATTGAAATAGCTCCTAAGAATGGATGGTGATGTATCTGACAGATTCTCACCTTCTCCAGGTGGTACCACCCAGCACAGAGGGCAGCAGAGAGCCCTGGTAGGCATTTGAGCAGGGATGCTTCATCTTCCTTCTGCAAATGCTTCTGGGCCCCTTGCTCTGTGCAGAAGGCTTGCAAAGACTTTTGTGTTCCTGCTCCCAGATAACCCTCTGATCTGATCCTCTATCTCACCCATCTTTCTTGCTCACTCTGTTTCAGTCATATAGGCCTCTGGGTGGTTTCTTACACAGGCCAAATCTAGCCCTGCCTAAGGGCCCTGCACTTGCTGTTTTTCTAGCCAGGACTTCACCATTCCCGGACAGCTCTGCTCCCTCACTTCACTCAGGCCTCTGCTCAACTGCCACCACCTTCCAGAGCCCTTCACGACTGCCCCGTCTCAAATAGCACTTCTGCCTCCTTTGTTTCCCCATTCAGCTCCAGGACCAGGAAACACAGGCTTTGTTACCACTCTATCCTCATTGCCTAGAATAGTGCCTGGCACACAGCTGGGACTCAACATATATATGTGTTGAATTAATGAATTCAGTTTCCAATGAATAGATTCTTTCCCTACCCAAAAAGAACTTATATCTGATTCTTGAGTATGTGAGCATTTTCCTACCGATCACTGTCACCCTTGGGATGATGATCCCATTAGCTGTGGTTATGATGATGACAGTGAGGATGTTAAATGGGTGGTGGTTTGCAGTGTGCACTGGAACTATTAGATGGAATCTGTCTTACACAGTGATGAGCACATTGCAAAATTGATAAGTAGGTTGTAGGTTTGAGTTGCTAACCTAGGAGTCCTTGCATAGTCTCAGCAATGGGTAGCCCACGCCCTCAGAAGCAGCCCATAGCAGTTAGGGCAGCTCTAGGAAGGCACAGGAAAGAGAGAGGGATGAAAGGTTTTGCCCGAAGCATAGTTTCTTTCTTTCTTTTTTCTTTTGGAGAAAATATTTGGCTTATATAGCCCCTTTATTCTAGTCCTAATCCTCGATGCATTAGACATAAAGTTGGAAGTGTTTTTGTATATATATACGTTAAATTCTAGGGTACTTGTGCACAACGTGCAGGTTTGTTACATATGTATACATGTGCCATGTTGGTGTGTTGCACCCATTAACTCATCATTTACATTAGGTATATCTCCTAATGCTATCCCTCCCCTCCCCCCACACCATGACAGGCCCCAGTGTGTGATGTTCCCCACCCTGTGTCCAGGTGTTCTCATTGTTAAATTCTCACCTATGAGTGAGAACATGTGGTGTTTGGTTTTCTGTCCTTGCGATAGTTTGCTCAGAATGATGGTTTTCAGCTTCATCCATGTCCCTACAAAGGACATGAACACATCCTTTTTTACGGCTGCATAGTATTCCATGGTGTATATGTGCCAAATTTTCTTAATCCAGTCTATCACTGATGGACATTTGGGTTGGTTCCAAGTCTTTGCTATTGTGAATAGTGCCGCGATAAACATACGTGTGCATGTGTCTTTATAGCAGCATGATTTATAATCCTTTGGGTATATACCCGGTAATGGGATGGCTGGGTCAAATGGTATTTCTAGTTCTAGTTCCTTGAGGAATTGCCACACTGTCTTCCATAATGGTTGAACTAGTTTACAGTCCCACCAACAGTGTAAAAGTGTTCCTATTTCTCCACATCCTCTCCAGCACCTGTTGTTTACTGACTTTTTAGTGATCGCCATTCTAACTGGTGTGAGATGGTATCTCATTGTGGTTTTGATTTGCATTTCTCTGATGGCCAGTGATGATGAGCATTTTTTCATGTGTCTGTTGGCTGTATAAATGTCTTCTTTTGAGAAGTGTCTGTTCATTTCCTTTGCCCACTTTTTGATGGGTTTGTTTGATTTTTTCTTGTAACTTTGTTTAAGTTCTTTGTAGATTCTGGATATTAGCCCTTTGTCAGATGGGTAGATTGCAAAAATTTTCTCCCATTCTGTAGGTTGCCTGTTCATGCTGATGGTAGTTTCTTTTGCTGTGCAGAAGCTCTTTAGTTTAATTAGATCCCATTTGTCAATTTGGGCTTTTGTTGCCATTGCTTTTGGTGTTTTAGACATGAAGTTCTTGCCCATGTCTATGTCCTGAATGGTATTGCCTAGGTTTTCTTCTGGGGTTTTTATGGTTTTAGATCTGATATTTAACTCTTTAATCCATCTTGAACTAATTTTTGTGTAAGGTATAAGGAAGGGATCCAGTTTCAGCTTTCTACATATGGCTAGCCAGTTTTCCCAGCACCATTTATTAAATAGGGAATCCTTTCCCCATTTCTTGTTTTTGTCAGGTTTGTCAAAGATCAGATGGTTGTAGATGTGTGGTATTATTTCTGAGGGCTCTGTTCTATTCCATTGATCTATATCTCTGTTTTGATACCAGTACCACGCTGTTTTGGTTACTGTAGCCTTGTAGTATAGTCCTAAGCCAAAAGAACAAAGCTGTAGGCATCACGGTGCCTGAAGCATAGTTTCTTCCTTCCTTAGGAAAATAGCATGAGTTTCCAGTTGAAAGGAGAGAGATCAACCTCTGCTCTATGAATCACCCCTTAAAAGCTGCAGAATCAAAGGGAACCCCATGGGCAAAAGACTCCTTTTCAGTCATACCTGAATGAATGGGAAGAGGAGCCCAACAGCAAAGTTGGAGAGCCAGTTGACGGTGCCTGCGATGATGAAGGTAGCTGGCTGCTGAGATTGCTGGAAGTATTCACCTTAGTCAAGATGAACGGGATGCCACCTGCAATGTGTGAGCCAGGACATGGAATTAATCAATCTGAGGAGGTCATGCCTCCAGCATCCATCTCCATCTGCCACACTTTAGAGCCCCGCCCCTGCCACTTGACTGGATGTGTAGTGGGCCCCAGTTTCTGAGTCGCCCTGGTGACTTAGTGTTACTCAGTGGAGACATCATTGACATTGGGGTGGGACAAGTCTTTATTTTGAGAGACTGTCCTGTGCAATTGCAGGGCATTTATTACCCTTTACTTTCTGATGCCAGGAGAGCCTCCAGTCACCACCACAACCCAAGCTGCCCCCGCCACATTTCCAAACTCACATGTGGTCTGAGGTCTATACCCTTCTATTCCTCCATATCCTGTTCAGTAAGACCGGTGATTGCACCCTTTGCCCAGACCAGGACCTGGGGCTCAGCACAACTGCTGGGATCCCACTTGAACCTCCCCATCTCCAACTGGAGTCACCACTCTGCCAATGAGATCTACACCTGGGTGTTTCTCAAACAAGACAGAGTGGACAATGGACAGGAAATCCCTCAGGGACTTTTACCAAACTCTAGAGAGACACTGAACACAATTTGGAAATTACTAGGACGGAGCCATTCATTGTGTCAACATCCAACAATTATTTATGTGCTGGGACTGTTCCAACATTGAGGTCAAAAGCAGCATGTCCTTGCTTTCATGGGGAACCCTTGTCTGCTGGGATGATTTGTTCATTAAAATGGTAGTGAGCCCAGGAATGGAAAACCAAACCTCATATGTTCTCACTCATAAGTGAGAGCTAAGCTACGAGGATGCAAAGGCATAAGAATGATACAACTGGGGCCAGGCGCGGTGGCTCACGCCTGTAATCCCAGCACTTTGGGAGGCAGAGGCCGGTGGATTACATGAGGTCAGGAGTTTGAGACCAGCCTGACTAACATGGTGAAACCCCATCTCTACTAAAAATACAAAAATTAGCTGGGCGTGGTTGTGCATGCTTGTAATCCCAGCTACTCGGGAGGCTGAGGCAGGAGAATCGTTTGAACCTGGAAGGTGGAGGTTGTAGTGAGCCGAGATCATGCATATTGCACACCAGCCTGAGATATAAAACACTACAAATTGGGTGAATGTATTTTGCTTGGGTGATGGGTGCATCGAAATCTCAGAAATCGCCACTAAAGAACTTATTCATGTAACCAAACACCACCTGTTCCCCCCACCAAAAAAAAAAACCTACGGAAATAAAAAAATAAAAATAAAAAAGGGGAGTGAGCAAATGAATAAATAAATATAAATCAAAATGTGATAAGCATTCTGGAGGAGATACACTGTCTATTTTGGTACTGGGTGGAGAAGGATGCCCTGCAGAGGAGATGGTGGAGATGTGGATTGAAGAAGGAGAGGTGGCTCCTGAAGATCTGGGGAAGATCATGCTGGGTGGAGAAAGGGGCCGGCAGAGGTCCTACAGGCGAAAGGATTGGGCCAAGGTCTACAATAGGGGCCAATCTGTCTAGACACCTGAAGGAGGCAGAGAGGAATGGGGTGAGGTAGCAAATGTGAGCAGGGGCAATGAAGCAGCCTCTTGTAGATCATGGAGGGGATTTGCGGTTGAAGAAAACTACTTTGGGCTGCTGGGCAGCAGTTGAGGTGATCAATTTGCATTTCACAGAGGTCACTGCTGTTTGGAGAAAAGCCGGGAGTGTGTAGGAGTGGATGCAGGGAGCTGTCAGGGCAGTCCAGGGAGGAGGCAATGGTTGTTTAGGAGGGCTCAGATCATGGCAGGTGAGATGAAAGGAAGGGACTGAATTCAGAGACAATTGCCCCATCAAGGTAAAGCTTTCAAGGTAAGCATTGCACACACACAATCACTGAGCAAGCTGACCCAACCAAGCAACCCAGGGTGACAAAGACACAAAGCCAGGACCAACTCAAGTCTGAATCTCTCCAGACCTTTCACCGTTATCACTCTGCTATGTTGCCAGCAAGGCTTGCACTCCAACAAATCAAAAACGACTCAGAGTGGACGGTTGCCCAACAGTCCAATATAGCTTAAACTTTGAAAATTAGCCCCAATTAATTATGCATGTGGGTCCACTCATCTTGTTACCTTATTAGAGTCTTCTTTGTTATCTTGTTTGAGTATCCTATTCTGGATTGCCCCAGAAGCAGACACTGAGGAGCAGTTTATGTGCCAGTTGATCCCAGAAAAGGCAGGGAAGAGTGCAGGGAAGTGAAGGAGGTGGATAAGGGGTGTGTTATTAGCAACACCACCATGGTCAGCCACATCTTAATCCAACTGGGACCCTTGGGAAACTGTGGAAAACACATCTCAGAGTTACCCCATCTGAGGGGTAAGAGGGCTGGATTATCTATCCACCACGTCCCATCAGTCACTGACTGTTACACTTTGAGCAGTGCTTTTGGCCGGCCACAATGTGGGCTGAGAGGGCCGGGGAAGTCCTCAGGCAAAAAGCCACATATGGGAGCAGTCGTAGGTCTGTCCGGGAATCACAAAAGGGCGTGGACAACGGGATTTGGGGAAGGTAACAAGAATCTTTGCTACTGCCATCTATTCCTTAAGTGTTTAACTTCTCAGTGACTATTGCAATAATCAGGTAGCCATTACTAATAACAACAGTGATGAAAATCTTTATATCATATACACCTAAGTACTCGTTTCAGGAGCTGGGGTATAACACTAGGGTTAAGAACATGGGGTGGAGGTCCCACACTCTAATTAGGAGTGTGCAGTGGGGGTCTTACCCTAAAGTTAGGGGCCTGAGGTGAGGGTGTAACACTGTAGTTAGGGGCCTGGGTGGGGGTCTGATACTATAGTTTGGAGCATGCTGCTTCAATCAGACCATCTGGGTTAGAGTCTTGGTTCTGAGACTTGCAGGCTCTGTGTGACCTTGGGCACATTAGTTCACCTTTCCGGCTCAAATTTCCTCCTCTGTAAGCAAGGACAATGGAATTGATTTCATGGGGTCATTGCAAAGCTTAAAGGACCTAATACAGATAATACACATTGAATTGTGTCTGAGGTGTGATGAACACTCAATAGCTTTTAATGACGATGATGATGATTATTCAGAAGAAGCATGTTCCAGGAGACTATGAATCATGTGATCGGAGTAAGCTTCCCGGCTCCTGGGTCCCATGGACACTGAGCCACACTGGTTGACTAACTGTTTTTCCTGAGCGGGTGGTCTGCCCGCCAATTTGCTTTGGCAGAAAAGGGCTTTCCCAATAACATATAGTTGCTCTTGCCTTAGTAGCACATACATTGTGGAAAAGGAAACCAGATTTGAATCCATGCATTTGAGGCATAGAAGCCTAGGACTCTAGGTAAAATAAAAACTCTTATTTTACAGATTAGGAAAATGAGGCTCAGAGAGGGAAATGTATTTGCTCAAGGTCATAAAACTTGGTGGAAGAGCCAGATTTAGTTTAAAAAAAAAAAAAAAGTCCCTCTGACTCCTTTCTTTACAGAATATCAAGAGGTGATATGGATTGAGGTATCTGTCCCTCACCTTGAAATTATTTTATTCCCCTCTTTTTCTCTCCCCATCTCTTTCCCTCCCCCACTCATTTTTCTCCCTTCTTGCCAGGAAAATAGAAAATATGTACTGATTAATTGAGTATTCTATGTAAAAATTTGCCAAGTAATTTAAAAAATTCTGTAGATACCCTAAAAATATTCCTAATAATTTTGAGACATTGTTCACCTCATTAATAATGTATCGATCTACTTTGTTAATAATGCCATTATTTTTCCTTCAGAAATGTTCATAAGCAAAGAAACATTCTTCCACCTCATTGGTAAATTCCTAATAGTTACATTTAGTTATGTTCAAGTGAAAAGGAATTGAATTATGCACGTTCTTCATACAAGAATTACTTTTTGAAAACTGCCTTTTTCCTCCAAATCTCTGTTCTCTGTGAATCTGTGCTCCAGCTCAGCTGGCCTAACAACCAAGCTGCCTTGTGGCAACAGCGCCCCTGGTGTCTATAGTGAGGAACTATCTGCTACCTTTCTTTCTCCAGAGGTAAACCTGATATAAATTCCCATCACTTTACCTACTAGCTATGTGACCACATGTACCTATGGTTCTCAGTTTTCTCATCTATACAATGAAGATAATAATAGTTCCTACCTAGTTTTGTTTTGTGCATTAAATGAGACTATGCTTAGCAACGTGCACCTGTGGTATTTCTCTAGAGCCAGCTTTGTTATTTCTGCTTCCAGCAATGTTTCCTACATATTATCTTTAGGCCTTTTCTCCCTCCTCTCTATTTTCTAACTCTTGCCCATGTACCCTAGAAAAAGTTCAATTTTAATTTTATTTTTGAATAAAAGAAATAAAGGGCAACTGCCCAAACTTTTCCTTAATTCATATGTATTAAAATGCTTCCAATGGAGCCACTATCATCAATTTCTAAAGCCCTTCAAAATGCCTAGAAACCCCCTTAGAAATTTCCTTTAGTGTGTCCATATGTCACTTAATCCTTTAAATAAATGTTCTGTTAAGCACCAGGTTTAAAAATAGCTCTTTTCTTTTATCAAAATATAATCATTTTGAAAACTCTTCATGGCCATTCTGCTTTGTTTACGTCAATAGACTTTATCTTGTTCATCCACTCATTTATCCATTTCCATCCGACATTTACATGTCAAGTGCTAGGCATTTGCAGACACTACTAGTTGATGTAAGAACTATCTTGGGAGGCAGTTACTCTAACTCCATTTAACTGGTGAGGAATTTGTGACCCAGAGTAGAGAGTGACTTGCTCAAGGTAGCACAAGCAGTAAATGATAGACTTGGCTCCGAAACCAAGAGATCTGGACTCAGGTAAGAGACTTTCTCCTCTGCCCTTTCTCTAGGAGAGACATTTGAGAATTTGAAAATGCACAGGCTCCCAAACAGATTTGTTCTATGACAACAGCCAAGATATATGAGCAATTAGAACTCATGCCCTGCAGCCTGTTGGGAGGGGTGGGACCAGAGTGCACACAGGA